AGGAATTGAACCTGTATCCTATACGGAACCGTCATATAGCCTGACGTGCTTTTACCGATTGAGCCACAGAGGAGCGTTTCGGTTAGCAAGGTCAATTTTACTGTTTTTAAACTATAATTATCCATGATTTTCTCTCATATATTCATATCTGCTCGATGCGTATCCAAATGTAAACAAATGACGTCACACATTATGAATGGACAAAGTCCGACAATTATTTTGAGACATTTTTATGTTTATATGTTCTTTATAAAAAAATGTCTCAAAATAATTGTCAGACATTGTCCATTTCATAATATATATATATATATATATATATATATATATATATATATATATATATATATATATATATTGTTGGATATGACAGACAAGGAAACTTTGATGTTTTTCTATTATTCTTTAATTATCCCGTTTGGTATGGGAGTATAGAAATTTGTTCCCGAACCAAAAAAAAAAAAAAGAAATTAATACGAGATAAATTCAATAAAAATTCGTGAGATTTTCCTTGTTTGTTATATTCAACGAAACATGTTTGAAAGAAAGTTTACGACCAAAATATACACAAGATTTTAGGGATTTGATAGAACATACACACAAACTGTGATTTTTATATATTAGAGGGATTAAAGAAAACATCTCATCTCAAAGAAACATAAACTTGTAGACTACTCGTAAAAATAATAATAAAAAAGAAACCAGAAGAAAAATGACATAAATTTTCATATAGAAAAGAGGATTACGTGGAAGATATTAAATTTTTCCCTGGTGTTTTGATTAGAACCATGAAAAAGGAATAAACCCAAAGATAAATTGCTTATCTCTCTCTCTCTCCAGAGATATCACGATTTCTACTTATGGATTATGTTGTAAATGTTTTCTGTTTTATAGGCAAAATTATTCAGATAGAAGTTAACAGAAAGATATTATTGATTTTTTCGTGACGTCATCATATGCACTGATAACCAAAATTTCGGGTTTTGTTATTTATTTCCGTGCCATTATTTCCTCTGCTAAAATTCATCTATATATAATTTTACGAGAATAAGCTGAAAAGATGTCTTCTTGTTTTCTTTACTCTCGTAAATCAAGTATTATGTTACTCCTCCTCCTCATCTTCCTTAAGTATCGTTCCTTCAGGATATAACTCTCTACAGCTTCTTTTTTTTTTTAAAGTACTTCTACATTGCTATGATTGTTCCTCGAAAATATAGTAGAGTGGTTTCCCCTTATTTGAATCCATTTACACAAAATCGTTAGGTACGTTATTCTGTACATTTCTTTTTACCTCTTCACCTCAGAATATCCTGTATGTGTCAGACTTTCCAAGCCCGTTTTCCTTATTATGAATCCTAGAAATTTCAACTGTCTTTTTCTGATTTCATATATAAGCACCCTTTTTGTGTCCATTTTTCTTAATCCTCGTAAACGCTTTATAATATAGTCATTAACATATCAGTCAATGTACTTTAAGAAGTAAGTAACAGTTATAGAGATTTTCTTATTATCTTATCTCATACCTTTTTGGAATCTGGCCAACTCCGTGAGCAAATTAAAAACATTTCTGGCTGGATCCGGACCCGCACACCTGAAATTTGGGATTCCCAAGATTTCAGAACGGCGATTGTTTTCGGCGACTTTTTTACGTGATTTTTTGCGATGAAGTTTTTGTACGGTAACAATTTTTATAACTTAGAATTAAATTTGGGAAATAATCGAAATTAACTGCGAAATCCAGAGAAATTCACTCATGAAATAAAAATAATTGTTTGTACAGAAAGTAAGGACCCACATACTTTAAATTAAGTGATGGCAGAAGAATTATCGTTAAACTTTTAAAAAGTAAAATTAAATATTAATGCAATGCTTAAATGCAGCGATCAATTTTGAATTCTTCTGTAGTTTATTGATGCCTATCACATCTACTCCTCTCTATCGATTGTGATGAAGTAAACGCTTCACAGTATAGCCATTAACATTGTGTGTAAACTTGGGTTAATATCTTTGTTTGTTGTATTGATCCTTACAGATCTGCCAATATACTTTAAGGGTTAAGAAACAGTTATATTGATTTTCTTTTTCAATTATATATATTCTTATTATGAAATGGACAAAGTCCGACAATTATTTTTAAGACATTTTTATGTTTATACGTTCTTTTTATAGATACAAATATTTAAGTAAATGCTCTGTTTATAATAAACAGTATTAACAACATTTACCGGCCTGAAGGTCCGAGAAATTTTCATAGACAGGAATCGAACCTGTATCCTATACGGAACTGTCATATAGCCTGACTTGCTTTTACTGATTGAACCACAGAGGAGTGTTCGGTTAGTAAGGTTGATTTTACTGTTTTTAAACTACAATTCTCCATGATTTTCTCTCATACATTCATATCTGCTTGATGCGTATCCAAATGTATCGATCACTACAATCTTAACCTGTTCAAGTCTAGAGTTAAGCGTTATCTTCCCCTCCTATCCATATTAACTATTCCTTAATGTAATCCTCTACCTCGAGTGGCCCTCGGTCCTTGTATCGGGTGAACCTTTGTCATATAGAACACAAATGAATGGAATCGTCCGTTTCTATAAATAAACTGAGTTAAGCGGAGTTGAGGGGAATCAGCATTAGGTCTTCGACACGTGGTAAGCTCTTAGTACTTGTTGAACTCTCTGCCTTCAAGCAGAGAGGAAAACCAGACAAGGTTATGCTGAAAGACATAGCCTTGTCTGGGGAGGTAGACAAACCCGACGACGTTATTACGTAGTCTACGGGGAATTTTTGCCCGGGCCTATGGGATCGGAAAAACCAACGTTAAACCGGCCTTGTGCCACATCCCACTCTGTGGGGAGCTCGGGTAAATACTGAGTTAGCATTAGGTCAGTTGCTAATTGTACCTTCGAGTAGCAACCCTATTTCATTACTTACCTACGAGTTTGTCTTCCTTATTTATTTTCCTCTGTTATCTCGAAAACATGAAATAAAATAATCTTACTCTAAAAATAAATATACCGTCTTAAACTGAATTCGAACTTGGCTTTAACAACATAAAAAATGTTTTTATGTTGTTAAACGTTAAAACAACCAAACCTCATTGTAATATGTCATGTCTACTTAAATACATATCTGTGTCAGGAAAGGTCAAGCGGTGTTGATGAAACTTTGACATTATTCATCCTTCTGTTCATACCAGTGATTAAAGAAATCTTCATATATCACCCCTCTCTTTGCGCCTTTTTGCAGTAAAAATACACACTATTTTGGAAATCCTTGCAAAAACCAAATCACTGTCGGATTTTAATGAAATTTTAAGTACTTATTCACAAATAAAGGAAATTATTTCTGAAATATTTTATTTTAGAATATTTTGGAAAAAATATATCGTTTTTACATTTGTTCCCCGCATTTACTTAATTTGATGAAATTTCGAGAAGTTAAATTTTGATTCGTTTAATATTTACATTACTTAAAAGCTAAAGGACTAAATTTTCTATTTTCCTGTAAGCAAAATACTCTGGTGTATTTCAAACAGTTATTATATTGATTGGAATCGATTTACCGCAAAGAAAAAGGACGCAAAATTTCCCATAGTAATCTTTGACCCACCGCTGACGTAAGAAAAACAACATTTTTAAGGAAAATTTCGAACGTGCTAGAAAGGATTAAAAAAAATTAATAAAATAGTAAAAAAAACCCAACCCATTTTGGACTTTCCTCTTAATAATAACAAACATTTTGACGATAAAACATTGTTTTTATTAAGTGTAGGGCCTTTTTTCATCATGCTATCTTCTTTTTTACTAAAAAAGTGGAGGTATTAAAAATTAGATACTAAAGATTTTCAGTCTAGGCATCTCCCACGTAGGCCGAATCCCAAATCACACAGCGCAAGACACCGTTATATTAAAATTAGACAACCTGATATGTCCCTGAAAGGGATATATTTGTTCAAAGTAGCAAAGTGGTTGTTCACTACTGTAGCCGGGTAGCAGGTAACCGTAATGGACTGGTCCTCGTCATAGTGGTAGGCAATAGGCGTCGTCGTACGTTCACATCAGTCTGTATTTATGGCTGACACCAGACAATCATATTACTGTGAGGGGGAACCCAGGTGTATGCATATTCATTACATCACTATCCGTGACCCGTTGGGTCACTGACAGTTCACGTTACAAAACATTTCAACATTAAAATATGTATGTTTGGAGAAAGTTGAAATAAAAAAATATACTTGCTGTATAAAAAATTGTATTTTTAAATCTTATTCACTTAAAATATTTTGAAAAATCACATTAACGTAAAAATATATTTTTAATATGTCAAAAAATATTTTAAAATCATATTCATCTGAACATTTTTTTTAAATATGGCAAAATATTTTTTAAATATTTAAAATATTGTTTGTTTAAAGGAAGCTGAAATATAAATAAGCACGCACGAAATGTTAGAGGTGGAAAGAGAGAAGTGAAGAGAGAGAGAGAGAGAGAGAGAGAGAGAGGTGGGAAGAGAGAGAGAGAGAGAGAGGGAGAGAGAGAGAGAGAGAGAGAGAGAGGGAGAGGTGAAAAGCGGATATAAATGGTTACATTTGTGTCCACAATCCGGATGTTAAATTAGGTCAGCATCTGAGACGAATACGCAGTACTTTAAAATCATATTCTTTCTTTCACCCACTCTCTATGTATGACTTCTGGCAAACACGCAAGCAACGTTCACAGACTTTTATAATAATAAAGATAACATAGAGTAATGTAAAAATTAATGATGGAAATATTTGTTCAGAGTTAAATTTGATATTTTCAATATAATACACGGGCAACGCCGAGTATTCCTGCTAATCTCATCTATGGCACTGAATACTGGACAATTTCTCCACAAATACAGAAGACTTGAAACGACCTTGATGTGCTTTTAATTAGAATTAGTGAGAATATGATATACATAGCAAGAGACAAATGAAGAAATTTTAAAGAGAATATAAATTAAAGAAATTGTTATTAAGAGAGAGAGAGAGAGGTAGAGAGAGATAGAGAGAGTGAGATAGATATAGATAGATAGAAATAAAGAGAGAGGGGAGAGTGAGAAAGAAGGAGAGAGATAGAGTGAGAGAGACAGAGAGAGTGAGAAGAAGCGAGTGAGTAAGTTAAAGAGAGAGTGAGAGTTAGTGGGAAAGAGAGTGAGAGAGATAGAGAGAGATAGTGATAGAGAGTGTGAGAGAGATATAGAGAAAGTAAGATAGAAGAAGAGAGAGTAAGAGAGAGCGAGAGATAGATAGATAGATAGATAGATAGATAGATAGATAGAGAGAGAGAGAGAGAGAGATGTAATGCGGTGGAAATAAGGCACGTTGAAGGAAAGGGGAGCTAATGAAACGAGGCAGTTAGGTACTCGACAAGGTTGGAGTAAATGAATGGAGGAACAAGTATGGGTGACACAAAGAAGAGTCGTCAAGGTGCAGGTATTGCCGAAGAGATCAAAAGAGAGGAAGCTGTTAAGAATCATGATCGCCCAGGCCCAGAAGGGACATTGCGCGGATAGACAAACAGGTAGATAGATATGAATAGACTGAGAGAAGGATTAAGAGATTGAGATAGATAGATAGATAGATAGATAGATAGATAGATAGATAGATAGATAGATAGATATGAACAGTCTGAGGTAGCCAGCTAACTAGTTTGATACATAGATAGATACAGAGATACAGAGATATGAACAGATTGAGGTAGATATACTTAGATAAATAGTCAGCTAGGAGCTAGCTAGCTAGATAGATAGATATGAACAAACTGAGCTAGCTAGCTAGAGAAATAAATATGAACAGATTGAGATAGATAGATAGATGGATATGAACAGACTGAGATAGATAGATATGAACTGAGATAGATAGATAGATAGATAGATAGATAGATAGATAGATATGAACTGGCTGAGATAGATCTTCAGTTGACCGTAGTTTTGTCGCTTCTTATTTTTGATGTTATTTAGGGTAGAGAAGCCTAATCCAAATAAATAAGTAGAAAATTGCAATAAAACTCATAAAGCCTTTTGAGATAATTATTTGAAAAAAAATGTTTCATAATTATTCATTTACTCATTACTACCTTCACACACACACACACACATACATATACACATATCTGCCGTGACAATATTTCGCAGCGCACTTAAGAGGATCGCGCGGCTCACTAGTGTGCCGCGTCACGGTGGTTGAGAATCACTGCTCTAAACAGTGTTTTCCTAAATAAAATGCGTATTTTAAAATATTCTAGTAACATTTTCAGGTTCAATCTATAATATTTATAATTATTAAACATCTTGATCATAACCTGATTTTGAGCTGCCAGTTTATATTATACAAACAAAAGTAAATAAATGACATAATATATTATGAAATGGACGAAGTCCGATAATTATTTAATATATCTATTCTCTACACTTTTTTTTAATATATACAAATATTTAAGTAAATGATCTCTTTATAATCGGGAGAAAAAATTTCTTGGTAGCCAGTCCCACAAATTAGCGGGAAGAAGCTGACTGAGTTGAACTTCATTCTTACCTGTGCAATACGAAGAGAACGAGGATAATTCGACCCTGAGTACGTAGCATGGTGGGGGCTGAACTTGTGGAACTAAAGAACGTCTGAACATTTGCCATGTAAGTGGTTTCGACTTTAACATTACCTGCAACAGGTCCCCGAAAGTCCTATTTAAGTGTTGTTGCTCATTTATATACATAATCTCTATTGAGAGACATCCCTTTAAGTTGGTGTCTTGGAAACGTTTTCGGATAATGTGCAATAGTCACTGAAAGATTATTTTCTTGAATTACTCTTCACTTTACCTTAAGGTTTCTTGATTGTTGCATGAAACCCTAAAAACTCTAATCTGAATCTTCAAATTATTCTCTGCATTTATCTTGATTCCATCATCAAATTTTAAAGGACGTATAATTTTCTGTCCACTCTGAAACAAAACTCCATCTTGTTTTCTAAGTTGTTGACTGATCATTAGGCTTCAAGTATAGCTCTACATTCATCAATAAAGATTACTGTTAATTTTTTTTGTACTTATTCGTTAAACTTACACATATCTCTTTGTGATTATTACTTTAAATTGGCTAGTCTAATTTGACCAGTGTTTTTCATATTTATCATCAGTTTTTTTCTGTTTACATTTGAAACACTAGCTTCTTTAATACTTTTGATAGTTAATCCAATTCCCTTTCAAAATAAGTGATAATGTATTCAATAACTGAAATTAAGATTAGTCTTTCTTTAAAATTTGTATACATGAGGGAGAATGAATCGGCTGAAATGTTTTGATAAGAAAAAAAGGGTAAAACAATAAATGAGTTAACTACTCCGAAGAACATTTGATCCTTAGCTGTTGGTTTGTCTGCTCGTGTGCCATGTTAGATTTTCTTTTTCTAATACATAGTGTCATCTGATATTTCAAAAAGAATTCCGTTTTTTAATCTCTTTTTCCGATATTCTTAAAGCCTACAGTTTTTTTGTTCTTTCCAATATTTTTAGTTTCTTTTTTGAAATTGTTTTTCTGTTCAAATTTTTTTAGCATTCAATAAATTTACAATATTTTCTTTTTCTTTTGCGGTTAAACTAAATGAAAAAGTAACTGTCAGCAGTATGTGGATGTAAACTAAAATGCCATGTCACCAATATATGGTGACGTGGCTGTCAACGTGCTAATGGTGAATTTACTCAAATAGCACTAATGTTTTATTTGTAAAAGACGTGGCGCGAGACATCCATTTATTAGCTGGCAATTATTAGAAATTTCTTCTTCTTCTTTCTATGTGTCGTGTCCTTTCAGGACGTAGGCGATCATGGCTCTCCACCTCCCTTTATCCCTTGCAGCTCTTAACAAGTTCCTTCCCTCTTCTACCCCACCCAGACACTGCTGGGCTTTCCTTCGGATTCTTTCGGAGGGATTAGCAGAGGAGGGGAATGAAGTTTTTCTCGTCGGAGTAGATGCTGCGGTTGAAGTATCTGCTCCATACCGGAGGCCTTCTCTTTTACCTTGCGTTCCCCACCCCCACATTTGCGTAACATCTGTTGCATAGCGGTGGTATGATCAGCTATGACTAGCTTAGACAAGTTATGACACATTTAGACAATCTTTGACCAGCTTAGACAAGATAAGGCCAGCTTAGACTAGCGGTATCAGTAGAAAAATTCTGGTCTCCACGTTAAAAAACCGACTTTCTGTCACAACCAGACTCAGTTAGGGGTTAAGGTTAATCTCAGATACCTTAAAGCAGCTGAAAAATGTCCACATTCCGCATCAGATTAAATAGAACGTTCAATACTGGAAAGAGTGATAACAGGGAGCGGATTGGAGAAACCTGTTTTCCTAAAAAAAAGTGTTTTAAGAGAAAGATTTTATAAATTTAAACCGAAAACAGCACTGGTTGCTCGGTCAATGAACGACACATGTTAACTTGTAGAGAAATATCTGATATTACCATTTTTACAATACTGTAGTTGTGACTAAACCAGAAATTTTCCTTATCGGAAAATATCAAAACCGTGCAAAAGAGCTTTCACTGTGTATCACATTTTTTGTATTATTAATAAGATGGCTTCTTGCTACAGAAATGATTCAACTTGCCAATTCTGTTTGTTTTTATAAGCAAGAATAGTTGCGGTAACTATTATTTCTGAAGATGTCAAAAGAAACGTCTCTCTATCCAATCTTTATCTTCGACACAGTTTAAATACACATATCGATAAGAATCAATATTTACAAGAAGTTCCACTTGCATAGTGAAACGTCTCCCGAAAAAAAAGAAGCAATCTCCAAATATTCTGTTATTTCCAAACTTTGCCTCGACGATAAAATTACTTTTTAAAGCCCAGAAGATAAATGACCTCAATCTGACACTAAATAGAGTCCTAGAAAATTGACTCTAAATTTAAACTCATTTTTCTTCTTGAAATATCAGATGACACTATGTATTAGAAAAAAATCTAACATGGCACATGAGCAGACAAAGCAACAGTTAAGGCAGTAGTGTTCTTTGGAGTAGTTAACTCATTTATTGTTTTACTTTTGTTCTCATCAAAATATTTCAGCCGATCCATTCTCCAGCCGCCCTCAAATATAAAATTGGTAAAGAAAGAATAATTTTCATTTCAGTTATTAAGCATATTATTTCGATTTTGATGTTGTCAAACATTTCGACCGATCCATCTGCAGCCTTCCTCATGTATACAATTTGTAAAGAAAGACTAATCTAAATTTCAATTATTGAACACATTATCACTTATTTTGATTTGGTTGCTGTCAAAACATTTCGGTCGATCCATTCTCTTACCTTCATCAGATATGCAGTTTGTAAAGAAAGTATCATTTTAATTACACCTATTGGGCACTTTATAATTTATTTGATATTATTTCCACCATAATATATCGGCTGATCCATTCTACAGCCTTCCGGCTCGTGCACCATAATAAATATAGAAAAATGAACAAAGATTGTGGTAACAGGAGGGTTTGTCAAACAAACAAAAAATATATCAGTTCACTTTGCCGAACAATTCTTGGGTTAATCTCTCATTTACTACAGATCGTATACATGAAGAAAGTTGAAGAATGTATCGGCCGTAACCTGTTAAGGGTGAAATTACACCAATAACACTAATATTTTATCCCGTAAAAGACTTGACACGAGACATTCACTTATTAACTAGCAATTATTAGAAATGCACAACACTTTAACAGTTCCTGAAGACGTTTGCAAGGTACTGTAGTCGTGACCAAATCCAGAAATTTTCTTTATCGGGAAATATCAAAACCGTGCCAAAAAGCTTTCACTGTGTATCACATTTTTTGTATTATTAATAAGATGGCTTCTTGCTACAGAAATGATTCAACTTGCCAATTCTGTTTGTTTTTATAAGCAAGAATAGTTGCGGTAACTATTATTTCTGAAGATGTCAAAAGAAACGTCTCTCTATCCAATCTTTATCTTCGACACAGTTTAAATACACATATCGATAAGAATCAATATTTACAAGAGGTTCCACGTGCATAGTGAAACGTCTCCCGAAAAAAAAAGAAGCAATCTCCAAATATTCTGTTATTTCCAAACTTTGCCTCGACGATAAAATTACTTTTTAAAGCCCAGAAGATAAATGACCTAAATAGAGTCCTAGAAAATTGACTGTAAATTTAAACTTATTTTTCTTCTTGAAATATCAGATGACAGTATGTATTAGAAAAAAAATCTAACATGGCACACGAGCCGACAAAGCAACAGCTAAGACCGAAGTGTTCTTCGGAGTAGTTAACTCATTTATTGTTTTACTTTTGTTCTCATCAAAACATTTCAGCCAATCTATTCTCCTGCTTTCTTCAGGTGTACAATTTGTAAAGAAAGAATAATTTTAATGCCAGGTATTGAACACAGTATCGTTTATTGTGATTTTAGCGTTGTCAAAATATTTAGGCTGAACACTTCTACTGCCTTCCTCAGGTGTACAATTTCCAAGTATCGAATACATTATCATTTAATTTGATTTTGTTCGCACGACAATGTTTTGTTTAATCCATTCTACGGCTTGTACATCGTGATGAACACAGTAAAATGAATCAAATGAAAAGTTGTAGTAACACGAAGGACAGATAAACAATCAAAAATCAGTTCACATTTCCTAATAACTTTTGGGAGAAACCTCTCATTTCCTACAGATTATACACCCGAAGAAAGCCGGAGAATATATCGGCCGCAACATTATCGTTACAATATCAGTAACATAAGGAACGTGTTAACTGTCTGAACCGATTCTAGGAAAAGCATAATAACATTATTGTCAAAAAAAAAAAATATATATATATATATATATATATATATATATATATATATATATATATATATATATATGTCCCTTCCGAAGCAGCTCTTAACTGTTGTAAATCTGATTTGTACAGTTTTGTAGAGATGCAGTTTAACATAGTTCCAAATGGATTTTCATCTTGCAACTGTAATCGTTTTTATTTTCTGACGAAAAAGCCAAAGTAATTTTCATAACCATTGCAGAGGGCATATTCTTGTACAGGCTGGGAATTTTCCCCGATGGAAAAAGATTTTTTGTTTAGAAGGTTTCTAATGCGTTAAATTATTTTTTGTGCATTTTTTCAGAATAGTAAGAAAAAAAAACCCATTAAAAATCTGAGACATATTGGAACTCTTAACAAAATCAAACCTCTGTCTGCTCGATAGATAAGTCATTGGAGTTTATATAACTTTTATCATTTAAACGTTATTTTCAGTGGATATTCATATTTGAGCAGACGTTCCGCTTTTATTTTTAAACAGGACTTGAATTAAACTCCAATTGAAACTCGAATATTGAGGCCGGTAGGCGATAATAAATATACGGTTTTAAAATAAAAACGGAGCGTCTACTCAAATATGAGCATCCAGTAAAAATAAAAAAAGTAAAAATAACGTTTAAGCAAAAAAATCTGTCGGATTAATAAATACAAATTCATCCCTTTCTTTAGAAATTGCTTTGTTTACGTTAGGAAATGAAAATGAGCAGATATAAATGTTTCGAGAATCTATGACGAGAAAGATTTCCCTTAAACGCACTATTCAGTTTTGTTTGATGGGCAATGTCCATTGCGGTTGAGTTAGTATAAGCACGTTGGATCCAACGACTGTTTATCCTGCCAAGGGGGATGCGTCCGAATCCTGTCAGAGGGCGCCTATTTTTTTTTTATAAGCTTTGTCGAATTCATTGCAGTTTTACTTGTTAGACTGGCCATCACGTTGCGACATCTTGAGGACTAGCTGTATCACATCACTTGAGAGCCTCCATTTTCGACAGCCTTCAGCCAACTTCGGACGCACGGTCAATCCGACGTTCTTGTAGCATCTCTTCCCAAACCTCGCTGCTGGCCGTGCGGATTCTTTCCTCAAGCTGCGACATCTTGCTTTTGATATAGCCCCCACAGAAAAAGTCACAAGGTTTGAGATCAAGGGAGCGCGACGCCCATTCGAGAAGACCGCTTCGACTTGAAGTTCAGAAAATCCGCTAAAAAACATTAGCAATGTCACTCCTCGCCTGAAGTTGAGACACAGAAAACTACTGAGGTATCTTCAGGTAATTTGCTCCTGTAACGGTGGTCGTGTTACCTGATGCATCACTCAAGAAAGATGGTCCAATCAGCCCAGTACTAGACATGGCACACCAAACCGCCAGCTTTAGAGAGTCTCATTCATGCTCGAGAAATTCCCCAAACAGAGGGATGAAAGATAGACTCGTCGGTAAACCATAAGTTTCCCAAGAGCTGTTTGTTGTTTCAGTAATGGTAGATAAGTGATTCGCACATTTTCACACGAGCATCATGATCTTTAGATTGAAGCATTTGAACAACCTTAAGTCGGTAAGAGTAGAATATTATCATTTTCCAAATAATCTGTTGAATTGTACTTTTACTGACGTTGAGATCAAGTGCAGATAGATTTTACCTGGCTTTGTGCGAACGCCTGCTCCAGGAGTTCGATGTTTTCATCAGCGGTGGTAGTAGCAGGCCTTCAGCTGCGGGGTTTCTCAGGAACAGATCTTGTTTTGAAAAAGTTGGTATCGATAGCGTAAATTTTGCTACGCATTGGAGCAATGTGACTGTTATAAACTCAGGCTGAACTGCAGTCTCAGACTAAAAGACTTCTGGCCAGATTGTAGTTTTGCAATGCTGCTTGAATGTCAATTGGCGAGCCATGAGCAAGGAAATGATACATTTACAAAAATGGCAAAACCTGAGCTGTCAAATACTGATGATCTCACGTCTCTCCGAATGATACCTAAAACGAAACAGAAAAAAAAATGTATAATGGCTTTTGGGACACACTGTATTTAATATATGTCGACAGAAAAAAAAATTACAGCATTCTTAAGAACAATGTCGATGTTAAGACGGATATTTAAATGGTAATGGTAATATTAGCCGTTTGCTTATAAGGAAACATTCGGCATTTGTTGACCTATCCCCTAGTGCAGTTGAAGTTCATAAAATATTTCTATTAAAATTTCTCAGGAAAATAGGTTTCGCAAATTTGTAACTGTTATATCACTCATTCCAGTATTGATGAGGGTTTCCTTCCTAACCATTTGCTTGAAGAAGTGTGGAATGTCAACATCTTGAGTATGTCTATAGTTTCTCTTCTCAAGCCCAGTAACTATCACTCTTTCCAATATTGATAAGAGTTTCCTTCCTAACTTTTTCTTTGAAGAAGTGTGGAATGTCAACATCTTGAGTTTGTCATTATTTTCTCCTCTTAAACCCAGTATCTGTTATTACACTTTCCCTATTGATGGGAGTTTCCTTCCTAAGCTTTTGTTTGAAGAAGTTTGGAATGTCAACATCTTGAGTTTGTAATTATTTTCTCTTCCGAGAAGCGAGATAGTCATTTGAGAGATTTGCTGCATATTTTGGTTGTGTTGAGTTGGTGGTGTTTCTGATGCTGCCAATAGTGGTTAACAACTATTCTTACTTACGTAAATCCGGTTCTGGACAGTCACATACTACAGACATCCCGTCAAGATCAAAGAACAGACCGCACAGAGTTCACAGAACAAAACAGTGTTATAGACTCAGGAGTGTCAAGACAGATAGTAGTTGGGTATCTTTTAACTACAACATAACGACTGGCATGCGCGCCTCTAGTTAGATTTCCACTTTCACCAGAATAATTGTCGTGTACATAAATTACAGTTACCAATATAAAAGACAGAGGAAAACAGAGAAACAAACAACAAATAAGGGAAAAGGCAATTAAGAAAAAAGCAAACACACAAGCAGTGATGGGGGAAACAGGAAGATATAACACATGCAAGTCTAGACAGAAGTTAAAAGCGGTTGCAGATTAACAATGACCTATATTTAAAAAGTTAGCATTTGTTCAAATAGGAAAAATTAAAACTGGAAAAAATTACATAAGAAAATATAATCATTAAAGTTAAGAAAAGGAGGAAATTTTAAGATTGTAGATAAAAGAAAAATTAGAATTTAATATTAAAACTATTATTTAATTCTAATATTAAACAAAGCAATATAATATTATAATAAAAATAATTAAGACATTATTATATATAAACAAGAAAACTTGAATATTAAAAATAATAAGATAAAAGAAGAAATGAAAATAAATAGATAAGTAATAGCCCCCAAAGAACATTTTACAATATAGGGGAAAAAATTTAAAAGATTAATAAAAAGTAAAAACTAGATTAAACTTAAGGTTAAAATTAAAGATTATATAGATTAATTATAGAATAAAATATAAAGGATTAGACAGAATTATATAAGTTAAAAAATTAATTACAGATTAAATTATGTTTTTTCTTTATTTATTACTCATTTTTATTTATTCTATTTCGTCTATTCTAACAGGAATATTTTGTTAATTTGTTTATTATTTGCTTGGGTTAATTTATTTTACTTCTTTTTTTATTATTATTTTGTTTATTCTTATTTATTCTTAGACCCAACTAAAAGCAAACTAGGTAAAATAAGTAAAACGATACTAGGAAGAATTAATTCTGAACTAAGGAAGAAGTTAGGAGTAAAGCAATGGAAAAAAACACAAAAGAAACAATTGACTGGTTCCCATAAATAACAAACATAATTGCCAATTTATACAATTAGACATAAAAGAATTTTACCCATCTATAACAGAAGCTATGCTAAATAAGGCCATCACCTTAATCTAGGAAAAAATAAAAATAAACACAAACGAAATCAATATTATTAAACATTAATCAGTAAATCACTACTATTCCACAATGAAGACGCATGGATAAAGAAAGAAGGGATCTTTGACACTACAATGGGAAGCTTTGACGGTGCGTATGCAAAATCATAAGTATATATTTACTACATGAACTAAGCAAAATAATAGATAAAAATGATACAGGACTCTACAGGGACGACGGTCTCATAATCTACAGAAACAATAACAAACAAAATAGACAAAACTAGAAAAGCAATAATACAGATTTTCAAAAACAATGGATTCGACATAGATATAAAAACTAACCTAAGCGAAGTACATTTACCTTTAACCTAAGAAAAGGCACATATAAACCATACAGAAAACTCAATGATGAATCACAGTTTATATACACATCTTCCAATCGCCCGTCTTCTATAATCAGATACGAAAATCGATTAAACGCAGGCTTTCCGACAATTCCTCCAATGAAACCATATTTAACGAAGCTAAGAAAGACTATAAACAGCCCTAAAAGGTAGTGGATTCACGGCAACACTCACTCACTCACACCCGAGCACAAAAAAGTCAACATAAAAATTGAAAACCGAAAAGACTAAATAAAAATATACAAAATAATAAATAAATAAGAAAAAACAAGTAAAATAAATTAATCTAAATAAATAAATTAACAATGCGCTCCCGCTAAAATAACCGTTAGAACAAATAAAAATAAATAAGCGAAAACAAGTAAAAATAATGAATTCAAATAAATAAATAAATAAAATAATAAACAAATTAAAAACTACCCCGCCCAAATAACAGAATAGACCACAGCAATCAATGCACAAATTGGACGAAGAAATAGCTTTAGTTATCTCCTAAAACCATAAAAATTATTAAATAAACAACCTAAAAAAATCTCAAAAAGTTTTTACCACGTTAATAAAACATCGAAAACCTAAAAAGAATATATATATATATATATATATATATATATATATATATATATATATATATATATATATATAATAAAAAAAAAAATAAATAAAAACAAGTAAAATAAATTAACCCAAACAAACAAATAAATAAATAAACCACTCATGCCAAAATAACTGCCAAAATGGACTACCCACAATGCACCACTGACCCGTATATATAAATAGTCAAGAAAAACCCAATATTCGCAGCCTGACGATTGCACATGTCGCTTCTGAGTGTTGACTTCAATGTTGACTTATATATATATATATATATATATATTAATCATTTCACACCAAAGTAAGGCAGTAACGCCACACGGATTTACTGAGTATGTAAGAATAAGGAAAGAAACATATTATTATGAATTGAGAACAATAAAAGAGGAATCGAGAGGACAGTATATAACAATTGGCCTTTAAATCTTTCAAGATCAATGTCGGCTGGAAAACTGTTAGCGTAGAGCTTACGGTTACATCTAGTCGACTGTAAATTGATAAAACCTTGTTGCCAATCTAGTACTGTGCTTCAGTTCGTGAAGTCTTGGTCACATAGAAAAAGGTTAACCAGAACAATTATCATGAAAGTATTTGTAGAAAATGCACAGGGTATCTACATTAAGGCACTGGGAAAGTGACTGAAGCCAAGATGCCAGATCAAGACTAATAATATTGCAAATTTTATCACGAATCCCTAAATATATAGTAGGTGCACCAGGTCATACGTGGCAGCAATATTCCAAGCAGGGACGATTGGTAGACTTATAAAAATATAAGATCGATTCTGGAGAAAAAATGTCTGGCATAAGACAGTAAACCAACTTTCCTAGAAGCAGACGTAGCATTTGTTTCAGTCTGATCTTTCCCCTTTATCTCAGCAGAGAACGTTATCCAGAGAAGGAGCAACGAGTCGCTCTCCTGGAGGTTAGCATCAACCATGCTGATGAGTGACAGAAAAGTGTCTCTCAGATGACTAATAGGGAGCAGTGTTGTTTTGAAGGCGTTAAAATTAACAAGCCATTTTATTGGCTCAGTTAACGACTGATTGGTAGTCATGTTTAAGATCAGCGGCCTATTTGATCTTATCTATTGAAACGGGAGTAAATAGTTGTGTCATCAGCATAGATTCCTAGTTGAGAACCGTTGTCATCAGAAAGGTCACTGATGAATATTAGAATAGATCCCTGGGGGACAAGAGCATTAATACAGAAAGATCTAGAACAGTGGCCGTTCAGGCAACTTTCATTTCGCGATTTGATAAGGCTAGTCCAGTTCAACATTTGCCCAGAAGTACCATAATATTTCAACTTATGAAAAATACCGGTGTGCCAAACCCAGTCAGACACTTTTGAGATGTTCAAAGCAAGAGCCCGGGCTTCAACATTCTTATCTAAAGCTTGTGGAAAATAATAGTCAATACATAAGCAGTTGATTTAGAGAAGCGAAAGCCATAAACTTTATCTGAAAGAAGCCACTGCGATGTGAGATGCTTAACTAATTCTATGGCTTCTATTAATTTACCGATGTAGAGGTAGATGTAATTTTAATGCAGCAAGATTTCCTGTAAAATATTGCAGCGTCTAGAATAGATGTTTCAATTTACATCGCTGCCCAAAAGCTAATTTATTTGTGAAATTTGAAAACAAATCATTACCTCTTTTGAAAGACTCTTCCCCACTTTTAACTTTCAAAAAAGGTAACAATTTGTTTTCAGATTCCCCAAATAAATCATTTGTATTATCTCATCTACCATCGCCCGATGAGGAAACATTAAATTTCCGAAACATGAAAGGTTTTGTGTAGCGATACAAAAATGTTTTTATTGTAATCTATTATAATAAAATGTTTTAATAATATTTAATAATATTATGGAATAAGTTCAACAATTATTTTCTGTTTATACATTATTTTTATAGATACTTACATACATACATATATATATATATATATATATATATATATATATATATATATATATATATATATATATATATATGACTGCTGATGCAAAAGCTCTTCTATGAATTGAGTAATGATTCACTGGCGGGGTTTACTCTAAAAATGAATAGGTAAGAATTCCCCTTCCTCTCTGCCGGGAGCTGATTGGTCAAGGGAAAAATCTACGACTGTTGGGTTTCGATCCTGGCTTGAGCCAAACGGATGTCTAGCCACACTGATGAGCTGTGATACAGCGAAACAGTCTGTCTGTAGATGACATACACACATACACATACGCACACACACATAAATAAACACACACACACACATGAACGTGAAACTATCAAATATTCTCATAATGAATGGGATGTCATTAATCTGAAAAATACCATCCTTTGGAATCAAGAATGTATTAAAAAACAACAACGCCGATGATTATATGTTGGTAGTACCCCTATAATGATTTTGGGTGTATTTAGGAGATCACTAGTGAAAGTGGAATTTGTTTTGACAGGTGCGACATGCACAGATCATATATTAGACCGTCTATACTTATTTATGCTAATCAGAGTTACTGCTGGTGAATAGTTTGTGCGCACAAAGCATCAAAACTGTGGGTGATACAAAACTCTTTTCAGAAACACTCGTCTGACTTTCATTTACTTCATTTGTCCTTGAGCTCACCCGATTTAAACCCCATTGAGCATATAAAGGATTTATTGTAGATGTCTCTAAATCCCCTGCAACCACATCTAGAAAACATAAATCAATTATAGTCAGTCCTGGAAGGTAGCTGGATAAATATACTTCCGCAGTTTATTCAAAAACCTCGTAGTCTCCATGCCGTGTTACGTAGCCGCCGTTATTCAAGCGAAAAGACGAGCTACACGTCAAGTGGTTGTCACGTTACTTTCTAAAATAAAAATTCATGAAAATACAAATTCTGAACTTCGTTATGGGTATAATCTAACATAACTAAAAATATTTTTAATGAATTACTTGGATGAGGAATTATCATTATTTGCATTATTTGCAAATCGACAGACACTCGAAAAAGGCCGGAGAGCAGAACGACAGAGACGTTGTGATCGTAGTAAGAAAGATAAGGATATTAGTGCGACAGCAAAGGGTGTAAATTACAGTAAATCATGTATATCGATTCTTTTCTTAATTTTAAGGCAACAGAAATTATAAAGTGACATGTGAATCACCCTGTAGATCGCGTGTTTTTTAAAAAACTCAAGAACAGCCTCGGATATTAACCAGGAAACCATGACGGGATATTGTCTGATCTCAGACAAAGATAAAACAGCAAAAAGCTGTTACCCTCATAGCCAACCTCGACTGAGATCATTTCTATCAACTAAAAACATTCAAGTTTCGAGGCTTCTAATACGAAAGCACTAAATGGCCTGGAGAAATACTCTCCCTCTCTGTTTTTCTATCTCTCTTAGGCTGTCCGTCATTTCTGACGACGACGACGCCCATCTATCTTCGTCTGTCTTCTGTGAGCTGCCAAACGAGACAACAGCCCGATCCACGAACGACAAGCTCTCGGGCACAGGTGGCAGGGGTACATGCCTAGTGCGGGATTGGCAGGCGACAGTTGACGCTGGCGTCGCTTCCTCTCGAGCACTCCTGGTCTCTACTCCTAGAGAGACCGCCAGCCGACTCTATCCCCCGTAAGGTTCTCCAATTGCGTTAGATCAATATTGCTGGAGACAAGAACATGCTTAAGGTAGTCCTAAAACCGTTTCTTTGGGCCCCCACGTGGGCGGCTGCCGATCTCGAGCTCTCCGTAGAATACAATTTTTGGGAGGCTACTGCCCGACATCCGCACAATATGTCCAACCCAATGCAGAAGGCGTTGTCGTATGATGGCCTCGATGCTGACGACCTCCGCACGTTGAAGAACCTCAGTGTTGGGGATTTTATCCCTCTAAGTAATGCACGGAGAAAAAATTTGACAGTTTTTGAAATAACATCACATTAGCATCGAATATACACCAAAATTGGAGAGGAGATGGGCGCCACCAAGCTACCTGAAAGCCCACTGAAAGGATCGTGAAATAAGAAGAGGCAAAGTAACACTATTACCGAGGTCCAGATCAACAACGGCTGCCCCTCCCATTGACTCACTCCCGGCTGGGCGTATCAAGTGGATGACTGGAGAGGCAAACACCATTTTCAGGCTAAAAACTCAGGGTACAACCATCGGAACGTGGAACGTACGCACCTTTTATGCTTTTAGAGCAAAGAATGGCGATTTTCTAAGCGTAGCTTAGATGTGGCACAAGGCCGAAAGTATGGGGCACCCAGTGAGGATCAATGCAAAAAGCTCAACGTCGAAGTGCCCATTTTAGAGAAAGAGTGGACAGGCATGATAATTCCGAAATTCTAAGAGCCAACGCCATCAGATCAGACTGGAGGGGGTTGTCTGTTTCTTCTGCCCTTACGCGCCGCCCATCCCCCGACGATTGAAGTAGTCAAGGAACTAATGATGATGATGATGATGATGATGATGATACGCAAAGACAAGAGTTATCAGAATACATGTAAAACAGCGAGACTAAAGTGAAGGCTGTAAGTAGCATAACAGGTTATGTGGTTTCAAGTATCGACCAAGCACTATGATTTCTACAATGAGACTGGATACTACAAGCGAATTATACATACTAGCGACATCTACTTCCTGAGAATTTTGTCAAATCAAAAAAGCGATATCGATATTAATTAGGAATTTACCAGCTGAATCTGAAATGCATTCTATCAGTTTTGCCAATCCTTTTATCTGAAGATAAATAACCCATTCTCTTCACATTTTCTTTTTAATAATAATAATAATAATAATAATAATAATAATAATAATCATCGTTGGGCGATGTTAAAATCTAAATCGTGCCAAATATAAATATACCGGTTCTACTTTTGCCTTGCTTCGCTTCCTAGTATGAAATGGGATAGTTAAAGCCATCTGTCGCACATTCAATGTCCTATTTTATTCATGCTTGATATCATTTCATTGAGCAAATGCTACTTGATGTATTATATATATATAAATATATTAGTGTTTGAGCCTTATATATATATATATATATATATATATATGAAGAAATATAGTCTTAAGGTCTGCTATATTTATGGGATAAAGTGCTCAATATTCGAGATAGAGCGTGTGGAAATATATATATATATATATATATATATATATATATATATATATATTGGTTGGATTGATGTGAGTTTGTGAGCCTGGGTTTCACGCTTTTGCGATCGTCAGACAAACGCTTTCTAAGTACCGCGCATATAATATATAAATAATTTATATATATATATATATATTTATTTATATTTACACACACACACACACACACACATATATATATATATATATATATATATATATATATATATATATATAACGTGTGTAAAAGCAAAATTGTCTAAATCGTGTAACAGCATAATTGTTTAAAAAACAAAACAGTAAACTGAGTTTCTTTTCTAGGTTTCTAGATAACACGTTTAGCCATCTTGACACTATTGAACTATTCACCTAAAAAGAGAACGGGTTAAAATGGTTTTGTGTCAGCCCCACTGTCTTCTCAACTAATAAATGATGAGTGGAAAAAAAGCTCATTCAGGCCTTCAGTAATGGTAGCAAAAGTCATGCTCTGGTTTCCATCTTCAAAGTCTATTCAAGAGCCATCAAGAGAACGGTGAATACGTTTTAAAAAAGAGGGAACAGTAGAGATGAAAGCTGGATCAAGAGGTCACAAAAGAACAGTGAAAAAGACTTGAAAATGTAATCGTAAGTGCAACCTGTGAGGCACCTTGTTACTCCAGGACAGTAAGTTAGAAGGTTAGAGAGAGAAAAGATAATCTTGAATAAGTTAAAAATGATCCTAGAATAATATATATATATATATATATATATATATATATATATATATATATATATATATATTTGAACTTTATTTCAATCCTTCATGAGCTTCCGATCATTAGCTATGATTAATTAATGATGAACACTTCATTTTCGCTTATGATCGATTTCATAACGATTCTTCTGTTAAGCTTGGAGAGTAATTATGCATTACTATTGCTCAAAGTAGAGTCGAATAGCGTTAAAAAAACCTCAGAGAATTCCAGTAATATATCTTTGATCATTTATAAGATACAACGGTTCAATGCCTAATCTAAGAATTGGACATTTTTTCTGTTATAGCTGGTCATTCATATTCGAGAATACCCGTCTGCTAAGGAGGCTAGCCTATCCCTATTGCAGACGCTTGCTCAGGCACACTTGTGTTTATTTAACACCCACAGAGTCACCTGTGGTTCATATTACAACTATGTTGAGCAGATCTTAGTTACAGTTTCTGGGAAAGAGCCTGTTATCTAGCGTGATCAACAGTTTGAACAAGGCCAGCAAGCTCAAGCCCTCAGCCACAAAGATGTTTGATTTCGTGCTAGAACAGCTATCGACGACCCCCAAGGGTTCCGTCTACCCAATTTTATTCATAAGGCTTGGGTCAACCCTTGGTATGGTTTCCTGGCACTTTCCAAAGGTCCATAACATCAGGAAGTCTCTTTCCTGACAAATCGACCAAAAGTGTGTATGTATCTAAATATGTCTGCATGCTTATGCATTATAATCTGATTGTGTTTGTATTGTCTTTCGCAAGATGTCATAATCCCATGTCGACACTTGTATCTCATTAAATTAAAGGCAGTCGATCTTAACGTTTATTCCAACGTAATTTCAATAGAAACAATATGAATAGAATAACATATGTATTTTCCTTTTTTCCTCAATAATTTTATAATTTTAAACTTAATATAGATTAAATTTACATTTTTGAAATGGGTAGTTTTTAATTTTAATTTCAAATTTTATCGTACAATTTAATACTTATTATTTGAATAAATTCTATTTTAGTATAAACCTAACTTTAAAACATTTAATAATTATATAACGTTATTTCGTTGTCAAGTTTTTTGAATTCTCGTATACTTGTATTTTGATTGGTCATTTCAGCTCATGTGACAGCGTTTCCCCTTACGATGGGTGGTTAATTAATTTGAACCTTTTAAAACCTTTATTCTACAATCTACAGTCAACATCATCACTTTATAAGACACCAGAGGTGTTGAAACAAAATGGCTATTTTTGTAGTGATCTTATAACATATTTATGTTATAATTTTAAATAAATAATTATATTCGCTCTACTTTGTATTGAGCACTCTTTTAAGAATAGTAATTGTTGGTTATTGGAATTTATTCCGTATACACCAATCATATACTCGTATATATATATATATATATATATATATATATATACACACACACATACACACACACAAATATATATATATATATACATCCAGGTGTGTTTCAATGTTTATGATCATTAGCACCGAACAACCTTAAATATGTTGCAAACAAAAAGTAATAGCACACTGCAGTCATATTGGGTAAGACCATAAACTACATCCGCGTCCTGGGTAAGACGATAAACTACATCCGACAGCAAGGCTTCTGATCAGGAGTTTTTGGGGAGAGTGGAACCACTTCTTAATTGCTGGTGTTCCCAGGACCACCCTGACAAGGGGTGGTAGCACCTGTTAGGGTCCCAGCTATGGGAAAATGGTTGACCCCCCAAACTGGGGTCAAAACACTACGAATGTGTAAATATAGGTTTTAATACTTTTTTGAAGAAATACCAACAATAAATTTTTGAAAAAAATATTACTAGCAATAAAAATCTTGTCGGCATTAAATGACCCATTGATATGCCGTAAATCAATACAAACCAAACCAAGAAAATCGCAGATGGAAAAGAGACAAATCCTTTACAGTAACGTTTTTAACGTGTTTCATTCAATAGAAATCTGATAATCTGGAGGATATAGCTTATCCACTTAAACTCTTATCGGTAGGGATCAAGCGCGTTAACTCCTACAGTATGTTTTTTTCTTTCGTGTGGTTAAAATAGTTAAAATCTTTTGTTGCTATATATTTTAGTCTGTGGCATTTTCTATCATTTCTTATTTTGCTTATGGCCATATCCCATTGAAACATGTACGAACGCTGAAGTTAAGCAATGCCGAGCCTTTTCAGTACCTAGATGGGTGACTGCTTGGAAATACCAGGTACGTGAGCTGGGTTGTGCGTGTGTTGTAATGAAATTGTTAATCGGAGAGCCGAGTTCCATTTCCAATTGGATTCGTTATAATCACTTACACGCAAATACCCTTGAGTAAGGTATAAATCCACCTCTTTCCCCCAGATATGGGTTAATTATTAAGACTTGTATCACTAGAGACCATTATTATCTAATAATATTCTTACATTTTAATAATATTTTCTGGCTTTAAATAAACTGCAAAGGGTTGATAAGCCATAAAAAACGAAGTAATCTGTCAACATACTTTATTATTCGTGTTGCTTAGTTTCAAGGGATTTAATGCCTTTTATAAAGATAAGTTCATTATCCATTTAGACTTGTTTTTTTTATAATTGCTTCCTATTTTTCATTCCACTTCACCACTTGCGATGTTACAAGGAACCCTTTTCTCTTTCTTCTAGATGCAGAGCAAGATAGACGCTATTTTTCTTCTTGTCTCATTGGGAATTCAAATGAAGTCTTTTAATTTTTATTTCACTCTCTAGTCCCAGAGAAGTTGGAAATCAAAAAAGAAACGTTCTATGACGCGCACCCTATCTATGTACTAACACTCGAAGGCGTTTGGTATTGACAATTATAAATCTTGATAAAAGAGTTTCAAAGATATCAAGCTAACCCTTAAACGATGGGAACCATCAGATGGCAAATCCGCAGTTCTTAGGCCACAAATTCGGATTTCGTAGATCGCAAAACCGTAGTTCGTAGATCGCAAATCTGCAGTTCGTAGATCGCATATCCGCAGTTCGGAGTTCGCAAATCCTCAGTTCGTAGATCGCAAATCCGCAGTTCGTAGGTCGAAAATCCGACGTTTGTAGATCGCAAATCCGCAGTTCGGAGATCGCAAATCCGTAGATCGCAGATCCGCATTGTGTAGTTCGCAAATCCGTAGTTAGTAGGTCGCAAATCTATGTTTCAAAGCCCTCCTTTCCACACCGTAGAGAACAACAATATTAAACTAAAATCTGTTGATTTGTCACCTGAAGCACTCGGCTTATATGTAAGTCAGGAGTTCAGTAATTGGTTGAGGAGGAACAAAAAATTTGCATGACGTTTCTATGTAATGATGTCAAGTGTGTCCCCTCTTTTTCTCCTGTAGATAAAACAGATGGCTTACTGTTGCTTATTTTGACGAGGGAAGATGCCATTTTCTTCGCCACAAGATGGCAATGTGAATTTTAATTTCCGGTATCTATTTTCCTGTTTGAATTTCTGTGATGAGAAGTTAACATTATTGAAATTAATTAAATTTGGACTAATGTCTTCATCTCTAGTGATTGATTTGTTATTTGACGGCTTATCAACATCTTGTAGCCATTTATTATATTTTAAGATTATAAATGTTTTTTAGAGATTGTAATGATGTACTGATCCAAGTCCTACTAATTGACCCATAGCTAGTAGGGAGAAGAGGTGGATTCATGCCTTTTTCAATGTCATTTGCATTTAAGTGAATATAACCAACCCAACGGAAATTGGAACTCGGCTCTCCGATTTCCAATTCCGAGCCATTATCCATTGCACCACCCGCACACCCAAGCATTCTGGTATACTCAAGAGGTCACCTACCTAGGTACGGATTAGGTTCAACGTCGATTAACTTCGTTGATCGAATGAGAACCAATGTGATACGGCCTCATCTTGTTCTTACAACAACAGTTGTCCAGTGAATTAAATTGCTGACGATCTTTGAATGGGTTTATACTGACATCTTGTACAGACGACTTATACTGGCATTTATACTGACACCTGTTTTATACTGACAACTTGTTTTATATTGACACCTTGTAGAGGCGACTTATATTGACACCTTGTACAGACGACTTATACTGACACCTGTTTTATACTGACAACTTGTTTTATATTGACACCTTGTACAGATGACTTATACTGGCACCTTATACTGACACCTGTTTTATAATGACAACTTGTTTTACACTGATACTTTGTACAGACGACTTATACTGATACCTTATACTGACACCTTGTTTTATACTGACATCTTGTATAGACGACATACTGGTACTATATACTGACATCCTTTTTTATCCTGACACCTTGTTCAGATGTGTTATGCTGACACCTTATACTGACACTATTTTATACTGATAACTTGTACTGATGATTTATATTGACACTTCATAATGCCATCTACATTAACACATAGTAAACGTATGGAAAAAATTATGTACCATATTATTACGAAAGCAATAGTTAAGTATAAATTAAGCAGCCCCCCCCAATATATTGTCTGAAACACTTAAACAGCAAAATTTTCTGAGTTTCTGGGTTTTGGAAGTTCATAAAGTCATCCGAGAGACCCCTTTCTGCCTTTCATCAGTATGGCTGATGCTAACCCCCGCAGAGTGACACGTTGCGCCTTCTTCGGCAAACGTTCTTGGCTGACATGAAATGGAACGATTTTATTGAAACCATTGCCAGGTCGACTGCTAAGAAAATTTGTTCACTGTCGCGTACTAGACACTCAAGAATCTATCTTACATATTTATAAGCCTACCATTCGTCTCTGCTTAGAATATTGCTGTCACATATGGTCCAGTGTTCCTGATTTCTCTATATAAATACTTGATAAAATCCAAAGAAGAATCAGCAATATTATTGATCCTGATCTGGCATCATTGTCCACTCGCCTGTTATTGCTTCCATGTGACTTTTCTACAAATACTTTAATGGTAATTATTCGAATGAGCTCTTCGCTATGATTCCTAGACTTTTTGAATTTAAGCCCAGTACTAGACTGGCGGCTTGGTCTCATCATTTAACAGTGGAAATGGGTAGATGTAACCGTAAGTTCTATGCTAACAGTTTCTTTTCTCGCACTTCTCTCTTGTGAAACTCTCTTCCGTTTCCGTGTTTTCCGGTCAACTTTAATCTTCAGAAAGTTAAGTGAAATGCCAATAGGTTTTTACTGTTTTCCTGATTACTCTTCTTTGCTCTCGCTCTTTAGTAATGTTTCTGTTTTCAAATACTTCCATACCAAGTAACCCCTTGTGTCTTAGGGGTTTTACTGCCTTTCTTGAGGGCGAACTCGATTAAAAAAATACTTTATTGTCGTTTATGTTATCATAATGACGTTTTGACCGTTACGCCCGCCGGCCTTCATCAGGTGCTTGTCGATTCAGATAACATCCAGGGAATTTCGAGAATAACAAAAGAGAGGAAAATTTAGAGAACAGTGAACGCCTCCAGCTTGAAACAACATAGCAGAGATGGATGGATATATATATATATATATATATATATATATATATATATATACAAAGAAATAATCACACATAGAATCAGTCAGAAGTATTAATGCGATTATTGGCGACATCCATCGCTAGAAAACATAATATATGCATTAAAATCCTGTTCATCCATAGTGCGAGTTTGATCCTCGTCAATAAACTTGTTGTCTGTAGTTTCTTTGTATGTAAATCATATGCTGCCTAATGTTTTATGTTTATTAAAAACTATCGATCCGCAGTACATAAAAAAATTCCTATAAAAAAAACTACTACTAAGACATTACACTATATTATTGAACTATATACTTAGTTCATGACATAAAAACTGAATACACTTGTAAAAATAGAATACGTGGATTTAACACATCACAAGAAATATTTAAATAAAATTCTCACTTAAAAATTTGAAAAACTTAGCGTTGCGTCTTTGCACGTTCGAGATCTTACACAACCGTCAATAATAGCAGATATTCAAAAAACATCTTTCGGTCGACATACAGGTATATCGTCTCAAGTTTTTTTGATTTTATAAGGAAAAAACACATGCCTGATGATGAATAGAAGACTATTTGTAAGTACTAGCATTTTAACATCAAATAAACTGAAAACTACAGACAACAAGTTTATCGACGAGGATCAAACTCGCACTATGGATGAACAGGATTTTAACGCATATATTATGTTTTCTAGCGATGGATGTCGCCAATAATCGCATTAATACTTCTGATTGATTCTATGTGTGATTATTTCTTTTGTATGTAAATCATATGCTGCCTAATGTTTTTTATATATATATATATATATATATATATATATATATATATAGATATATATATAGATATAGATATAGAGATAGATACAGATATATAGAGAGATATCCATATAAATATAGATAGATATAGACACAGATAGAGAAATATATAGATAGAGATAGATATAAATATAGATAGAGATAGATATATAGATATAGAGATAGATATCGATATAAATATAGATAGATATAGATAGATATAGATATATAGATAGATATTCATATGTCTAGAGATAGATATAAATATAGATATAGATAGAGATTGATATAGATAGATAGCTATAGAGAGAAGCAGATATAGAGCGATAGATAGAGGTAGAGATAGAGATAGATAGAGATAGATAGAGATAGATAGTGACATAGAGAGATAAATAGAGATAGAGATTGATAGAGATATAGATAGATAGAGATAGATAGTGACATAGAGAGATAAATAGAGATAGAGATTGATAGAGATATAGATAGATAGAGATATAGATAGATAGAGACAGAGATAGATAGATATAAAAAGAGAGAGAGATGTGGTGGTGGTGTAGGCTATTTATGCGTTCTCAGCTGGATCCCGAAAACACAGGGATCACAGCTTCTGGCTAATGAAAGCGCTTCGTAGTGTCAATTGTTGACAGTCTTGTACTTTAGTCCCCCCCCCGATATTTTTTATTTATTTATTTTCTCTCGTTCCGTTAAATGATAGGCTGTCGTGAAAGCAACGTTTCCTTTATCTAAGTTGTAATTATCAAATCTCAGATTGAAAGAAACGTGGCTGAGAAAACAGATAAAACTGACATGAAATCTTGACACACCCTGCACCGCTTCATGAGTATAAAAAAGAAACAAAAACAAACAAAAACAAACAACCAAACGCTTTCCAGCCAAGATAATAGGCTTTGTTTTATTTTATCGCAACTTTTTGTCCATTTCAGATAGTGTCTATCTGAAATATTTACTGTGTGCAAATATATTTATCAGTAATAATGTAAGACTCTTCGGTAAATCGAATCGAGTTCTCCCAGTCATTGTGTGTTTATCTAAAAATAAATACGCTTAAATTCACCTTCATCTCTGCCATGCGCCAACGGCTTAGGGGTAGAATCCCCCGAACTACGCCATTTCAGTCGTGTTTCGATACTAGCTAGAGGCAACCGGACGTCTTGCCACACTGAAGAGCTGTGATACAGCGAAACAGTCTGTCTGTCGATGACAATAACTGTAACATCCCTGTTTATATACATAAAACAGAGGATGTCTGTCTGGGTGATACCTTTTCGCTCGAGATCCATCCAACCGATTTTGATAAAACTTGGCATGTACATTCTAAAATGTAAGAGATACAATGAAAAAATCGATAAGTTTTAAAAAATCAGTAATCGATAAAGCCGATCAAAAACCGATAAATTCAACTTTTTTCATCCGATTTCGTTTAAACACGGCATGTAGGTTACTTACATCATGACGAGCTCAACGATACATCATTTTTATTTCTAAGTGAAAAACCGTTTGGTGAAAAACTGCGAAAAACTAAAAATTGATTTCAACACAAATTTTAAACTAAAAAGTCCCTCAATTTTCAAGCAATCTAATACAAACTTTACTCAATTGTAGCCAAAAATAAGTTAATTGTTTAAAAATCATTTAACTTGATAACTGAGCCCTAAAATAACGAAAAATGGCGATTTTTACTGGTTTCTTATTTTTCCTTGATCTTTCAACCAATTTCCTTTAAATTTAACAATTGCATTATAAATGTATCCTCTTTTACATTCCTTGTAGCACACTGACAAATTGAATTTCAAAAACTCCATCATAACTGTGGTCTGAAGTGTGTCTTCATGTTGCCTGTTTTAAACCTTTCATGTGCTCGACTAACTTCGATTGAATAAATACAGACTACTTCTGTTATATCAGTAACTGAATTAATACAAAATGTTTTTAAATAAAAATACTTTAAAGTAATTGAAGAAGATAGACACTGTTACATCTAAACAAGATGCTATTTTTGCTCCTTTCTAATTGAACGCTTTTTCTGATCGACCAGCTGGGTATGGCTGCTAGTTAGAGTTAAATCTTTTATTGATAATATTTGATAAGCCCAGTTTAGTAATATAAAAACCTGAATAATGATACTTGTGTATTTGGGAATCAATCCCTCTCTTGTTCGTTAAAGGTGACTGACAATTTACTTGCGATTAAGATTTTTATTTAATTTTCTTGTGTGAGTGCAAGAGTTTTTCTTTTTGGACATAAAATGGATAAAAACTGTCCAAATATTCTTCATATCCGAGCACTTTCGATTGTTTTATTAGCCATTATCAAATAGTTCATTTTTTTTATTTTTATTTTTAACTGGATATGTATATTTTTATGTATGTGTACCTGTAGTAATGGGAATTTTTTTTTTATTTCCCAACTACGGTCAGCAGACTGTGACAGTGTTCATAGTCGATATTATTGAACGTTGAGCCCAAGAACAAGAAAATTAAACTAATTATCAATTATAAAAAAAAACAACTAATATCACGGTCAACAACATCAAAACTAACTTGCAAGATGTAAATTACAGAGGACCAATATTGTTTATGAATTCAAATGCCCCTTAAGGGAATCTGTTCAAGTTTAAGATTAACCGTTATCTTTCCTACATATCCTCATAAAACGCGCCTCTAATCTCTGACTTCCGCTCACACAATAAATTCCTTCCTTTGTAAGGGTTCTCTCATCCTCATTACTTTCATATTCCATTGGTAAAAAGGAAGCTTCACTGAGATAGTTTCTTTCCAAGAGCTGTTACTTTGTGTAACAGACTCCCGAGTGGATTTCTTATCTAGCATCTTAATCTCTTCAAGTTTACATCTCATAATATGCACTCCTTCCTTCTTCCCTACCTTCTTTCCTTCCTTTACAACGAGGACATTCATTAACCCTCGACCTTGAGGGGCACTTGTGACTTGTATTGAGTGGATAATAGTATTAAAAAAAAACATCACCAACACAGTGTTTTTAGCATAAAATTAAAAAAAAAAAATTACAAAAAAAAAAAAAAGAGATAAAATTAAAATTTTTATCTGTCTATATTTCTGAGATCAGGTATTGTAATTATTTACATTGTTCGGAGTGTTTTGCTCAACTTTGTTGCCATATTCACGACGTTTCGACCGTTGTACGCTCCGGTCTTCTTCAGGTGATTGGAATTTCGACCCGAACCCTTTTCATCCACCGGGGTAGATTCTTCTAGTTCCACGTGTCATACCTTTTGATATCTCAGTTTCAGTTAATTACCTTTTTTGGTACATTGGGCGGAGTATATTAAATGGGAATCAGTACAATTGCCACACTCTGTAGAAATCGTGATGTTTCTTATTGAATTTGTGATAGAATTAACTTGTGGTTGCACAGGGTTTTCCTCTTTTACGAGTGTCTTCAGGAGTCCAACAATCCGAAATTCCAATGCTGTTTTGAGTTAGGGACGCTTACATTTGTTAAAATTTGTCTGATGTTTTTATTTCTTTTGAAAGAAAAGATAGGCGGGTTGGGAAAAATCTAGCTGACGTGTAGTAATTTCAATTTAAATATACATTTCTAGGGATTGAAATCATATCTCGATTTCGTGAATTTAAGCGTAGTACTAAAATGGCCGCTAGGTTTCATTATTTTACTGTTGAAATCGCTAGATGTAACCGCAAGTTCTATTATAATAGTTTCTTCTTTTTCGTTTGTTGCCTGTGGAACTTTTCCGGTTTCTTGCTTCCCTGCCTACTACGATCTTTAAAAACGTCATCATATATCTTTTTTAATCGTGTTCTTTTATTGCCATTTCTCATTGTTATTATTATTATTATTATTATATTTCTTTTGATTTCTGGTGTATACTCATTTCTTTTTGGGTCCCAACCAGAGACCTAAGGTCAGGAATGGTATCATCACATTTTCCTCTGAACAAAATTTTGCACAGACCACCAATGGTCCGTGGACCACCGGTTTGCGACCACTGCTTTAAAGCCCAGTGTAGAGGAAAAACTGATCGTTAGCCTTAGAGAATCTTTAAGAATTGATATATTCTTCAAACTATATCATTATCAGGGCATTACATGAGCTTAAAGAATAAAGTTTGTGAAAAAAACGAAAACAGTTTCGATACACGTTTCATGTTGCAGTTTTAGTAACACTCGGACTCTGATATTCATTGATTTTATTCAGTTACAAAACCTTACGACATTTTTACAAAAACGTAACTATTCGCTGGTCAGCTGTTATATTAAGCTCTATTCTATATTCTTGCAAAAAGGATTGATTCTTAAAGCTTTTAACCGGATTTAATCAAGCATAATTCAGACATAAATGAATGCCATATTTCTCGCTATAAAAATCGTAGTTTACACTAAGGAATATTCATGTCTTAAGCCGTTACAATATATTTCGGCCAATAAATTCCTAAATTAAGCAAATCCCGCTGAGATTAATTTATCGTCTGCTCATTTCTTAGCGAATTTCTATTCATCTTCTGATTGAAGTCTATGTTTTCCAAAGCTTTTCTCAAAAGCCTCAGAAGACCGAAGTGGAGATTTCTAATTCAATCAAAGTTAATTTTAATTCTATTCAATCTGTTCGAAGATAGTCGTATGATTGAATCTGTGATTGGACGGGAAACGCCACGCCCTCCTCAACGGGATTAATGCAACAGCTGACGTTCTTAGCTTGGCAGATGTTCAGAATCGAATTAAGCTTTTGAAGACGAAGCAAATAGCAATGGGATTATTTTCGACAGAAATAAATGCTGCTTCTATGACGAATTATAAAAGGCACGCGAATAAGAAAACGTATTCCCGATTACACATACACACGCACATGCACACACTTTTACATATACGCACACATCCAAACATATACAGAAAAACATATACATATACGCATACACGCAAACATATACAGAAAACGTATACATATACGCATACACGCAAACATATACAGAAAAACGTATACATATACGCATATACGCAAACATATACAGAAAAACGTAAACATATACGCATATACGCAAACATATACAGAAAAACGTATACATATATGCACACACGCCAACATACACTGAAAAATGTATACACATACGCATGCACGGAAACATATACAGAAAAAAGCGTTCACGCAAAACGAAATGAGGGCTGAAAAGTTCTCGGCCCGACCAAGAAGGGTTTCTAAAATAAATTCTGATACACGAGACATTGTGGGATATGGGCAGTGGAACGAGAACAATCTACCTTCGTAGAATAAATAAAGGGTCTAATTCGAAATACCGTTAAATTTACACGAATCGACAAGCATCTGATGAAGGTCGGAGGGCATAATGGCCGAAACGTGATAACAACAGCAAAGATGGGGAAAATAGTTCGCGTGTAAATAGTGTAATGTAAATAATCGATAATTCCTCATTCCAGAAATTCAGCCAGAAATAAATTCTAATCTTTGGTCAGATACTGAGAAGTGAATCCGATAAACATACAGACATGCAGCCGCACGCGGATGCGCACGTAATCACAAATAAA